CAGAATAAGAGGCATTATGAGATAAAGGAAGCTGACAGTCCAAGATCCTATCACTAACTGAGTGCAGAAGTGGCTGCTCATGATGGTTGTGTAACGGAGGGGGTTGCAGATGGCCACATACCGGTCAAAGGACATTGTGGCCAGAATGAAGAATTCAGTGGTGGCCAAAATGAAATAGAAAAAGGACTGTGTGAAACAGCCAGCAAGAGAAATGGTGTTGTTGCCTGAGGCCAAGTTAAACAAAGCTTTAGGGATGGCAGAAGAAGTGAATCCTATTTCCAAAAAAGAGAAATTCCTGAGGAAAAAGTACATGGGGGTCTGGAGGCGACGGTCAACTAGAGTGATGTAGATGATGAGAAGGTTTCCCAGGATGGTTAAAAGGTAAGTGAGAAGGAGAAGCCAGAAGAGGAGGATCTGCAGCCATCGGATGTGGGTGAAACCCACAAGGATGAACTCAGAGACCACCGTTGTCTTGTTCGGTATTTCTGCCACTCCATTCTGAGTCATTTCTGGGGCAAAACTTTCAGAAAAATGGAAAAGTTCCAATGCATCCAGCCTTTCTTACAGACTATTGAAAAAAATGTTTGATTGCTTTTGCAGTGGTACTAATCAATAAGAAGAATTTAAAAAACAGGATGAATTGGAGAACTGTTAAACTGATATTACAGAAAACAGTAGTAAAAATGTCTACATGTATCAGTGGAGGAAAGAGTTGTTAGCAAGAGAAAGTGAATAATAACGCAGATTGGAGGGGGTAGGACAGAAACCTTTTTCAAGCCTTTTCCTCTCTTGTAAATGGAAAAAAAAATATATGCCAATGCCTCTGATGGTTTCCTGTATGTTCCTTCTGCAGCAATTCCCATTGTAATTAAAGAGGTTAATCTGTTAATGTGTTTATGGCACCACTGATTCGTCAGGGAATTCATTCCCTCTCTGTATGAAAAAAGTTCATCTGATTCTTCCAAAACCTGGGGTGTTCTCAAGCAAATTAGGTGTCGGCCCTCCAAGGCAGACCAAACGTGGAAACCAAAGACACACAAGCTAATACTCCTTTTATTATAAGGTTATAGTAACAGAATCTTGCAAGTCTAAATGTGCTTCCCCTCTCCCTCCCTTTATCTTTATAAGAACTACGGAGCATCATTTCTGAGACACTTCTGCTCCAGACTCAGATATTTTTTATCTGACCATTGTCTTGTTGTCTTGTTGATTTGTGCACCCCAACCTTGAGTGAAGGGATATTGAACGGAATCAAAATATTGATTCCATGCCAAAAATGTTATATCTCAGTCGTACGTTTGGAGGTCAAATGACATCCAAATGATGCTTCCTAAAAATGTTATTCTTATTTCCTTATTTACACACATGTAACACATGTCTATAAACTCTGTCTTCTAACCTCCCAGTTTCAACAGAAAATCTACTGCTCCAGCTATGTCTCTTAGTGCTCCAGTTACAGCAACATAGTCCTGTAAATTAAGATTCTGCAGAGAACCAATTTGTGCCATAATGTCTTTATGGCCATTTACACTTCTGAATCTACAAAACTCTCATGTCTTATTGTTTGTAACCTTCAATTGGGCAAAACTTACAGAATGTGTACAAAATTCAGGACCAATTACTCCTGTGGGATTGAAATGTGGGAAAGTTCTTGCTGATTCAGGTCACATGATGGTCATTTCAAGGCGCCTTGGAAGATTCCCACAAGTCAATGGGGAAACTGGTAGGAAGTCTAAACTCAGCTGTGGGAAGATGCATGGGTGGGGGATAGC